GACGTGCGCACTAAGCAAACTCCAGCGTGCAAAGAGCTGAGCCCCATCCCTGCTCTGCCAGGGTCTGATGTGGTCCTTCGGCAGTCACTTCTCCAGTTACTTTGCTGTGTTAGTTCCTTTCTAGAAGTAATGCCTTTAGTATTAATTAGATTAATGAGATTGATATCGAACCATCTTTTTCCTGTATTCGTGCATCGCTTCTCACTTTACCTATATTTATCAATAAGCAGGACTTATACCATAAGGGATTGTTTAACCCTAAAGGAAGTTAGGAATTCTTTTTTTTTTTTTTTTTTGCGGAACCGGGGATTGAACTCAGGCCCTTGCACTTGCCAGGCAGGCTCTTATTCTACTGAGCCATCTCCCCGGCCACAAGGAATTCTTTATGTTCCATATAATCCTTATGCCAGGAAGTCACAGAGGGCTGTTACATTTCTCCTTTATTCATACGTACGGCACAGCAGATAATTCAAGTTCTATTTGTTTTAATAAGCACTGCTGGTGGTTTGTGTTTATAATCCCCGCTGCTTGGGAGGCCCAGGCAGGAGGACTGCTTGAGCCCAGGGCTTCAGAGTCAGCTGGGCAACACAGTAAGAGTGTTTTTGTTTTTGTTTCTGTTTTTTTTTTTTTTTTTAAATGAAATATTTCTAAGGAAAGACTTTTTTCACCCTATGCAATAATCAGTGATTGACTAGAACCTGTCACTAATTATATCCCCAAACTCCAACCCTTATGCAAATGATTTTGGTTACACTCAGCGGAGCATTCTCCAACTCCTAAGAGCCTGTGACAAAGCTGGCATGAGATGTCACAGACACTGCGCAGGGACCACCTGCCCCGTCAGGGTGCAGCAGCAACCATCTGGTATCCAGGGCCATGAATCAGTAGGGAAGAAAGTCTGGAGAGCTTTCAGGATCCATCTTCATTTTTCTTTGTAGTCTGAGCTACAAAGAGGGGCTCGCTTCGGCAGCACATGTACTGAGCTACAAAGAATCACTGAGGCATAGCAGACGTACACATCTTTTAAAATCTGCAGTGTGACTGGGCCTGCTTTGTTAGAACCCCACTGTGCGTGTGTTGGTATGAAGGGCTTCACACATCTCGCTGGTCCCACCCCCACCTAGTAAGCTTGTGCAATCGCATCATGAAACACGGAGCAATCAAGTCACCTTTTAGGGGACCACTGGAGGGTGGGAGCCGCCCTTTGGGCTGGGTAGTAATCATTCTCTTCTACCTTCAAGGGTGCAGCGGGCCACAGTAATGTATAAAAGTCCTTTGTTCAGCCGGGTTCAGTAGCACTCACCCAGCTTGCAAGTGGCATCTTCGCATGAGATCTTTGAAAATTACAAAACACACGATGACATCAGCCTTGTCGGTACTTTAAGCTAAAAAATGTTCCAAAGCAAATATTGTATGGTGCATAAACACAGTATAAATTTGCGCTGTTTTTAGGGCCTGTAAGGCCCCCTCACCATTATTTCCATTTTAAATTACTATGTTTACTCCAGTAGAGTCTAAGTGGAAACTGTAGTCTCACAATCTAGGTGGTTTTAGGAATTCTGAGATATGACGATAGCGAAATGGAAGCTGAAGCAGTGAGGCGTGCTCGTAAGCGGCAACAATCGCAACTGCTTTTGCTGTTTTCTCTTTTATACCCAGGTGACTTCTGGCTTTTTCTCCAGTACTGATTTAAAATCCATGCTCTTAGGAGATCTGGCTGCTGTTGTCAGAATCCCTAAAGGGATTCCCTCTCACCAGGATGAGCCCAGCGTAGCTGGCACACAGTGGGCTCAGGTGCGGCAGAAGATGCAAGAGCTTCTGTGACATTTTTCTGCCAATTCCATAAATTACCAAGCAATGGATTTGGAAAATTGGGTAAAATTTGCATAATAAATCAATCATGGGGGTGGGTACCAGGAATCACTGCTGAGCTACATCCCCGGCCCCAAGTCATTCATTTTTAAGTAAATGACTTGGGACATTTCGAACATTCACAGGGTTGTAGAGCACCTTTGCCTCACGCCAAAACAGCACCTTCACTTGCCTCACGCTCGCTGAACGTCGTGCCCCACCGGAGGACTATTCCCCAGTCCTGGCAGCCTCCAGACTGCCTTCTGGTCCAGTGGATTTTTGAATATATGTTACAAACTGTTTCATATTTGCCTTGAGAACCATGAACCTTGGTACTAGGCCTTCTTGGTTGACACATAAGTGAGTTCTAGAAATTTATCACCATGATCACTTTTTTTTTTAATTTTATTTATTTGTGTGTGTGTGTGTGTGTGTGTGTGTGTGGCCAGCTCTGCCCACCAGGGGGCGGGGCTGGCTGGCATGTGGTGTTGGGGGATTGAACCGCGGTCCCTGTGCTTGCATGTTCTAAGTAGGTGCTTTAGACCACTGAGCCATCTCACCAGCCCACCATGATCATTTGTAACTTATACTAACTCAGGAGAGAAATTTGGATTTTGGCTTCTAGGTAATTGCTCAAATAGTGTTCCTCTTTCAGACAATACTATACAAATGAATGCTAAGCATGTTTTTTGTTTTTTGTTTTTTTTTTTTCTATATTTTAGGGAAGGGTCTACAGGGTGTTTAGGGTCTCACTATTAGATCGGACTTGTAGTGATCCAACTGTTTACAGCCTCCCAAGAGCTGGGATTATAGGTGTGCACCACCACGCCCAGTCTCAATTGCCATCTCAGTGCACCCCAGGGGTGGGGCCTGCACAGCAGGCCCAGGAATTGAACCACAGCCTCTGAGCCTGCTTGCAGGCACTTTAATCTGCTGAGCTATTTGGCCAGCCCAGTGTTAAGTATCTTGAAGAAGCCTCCCTTCTGTACTATGCCATTGCTCCAGGCCCACGGAGGGGAAGCAACAGAATCCCCTCCCACATTTGTGGGACTCGACCAACCCTCTTCTAGAGAAGCAGTGACCAGTTCTGCCCGATCTGTGGCAGGGCAGGGGGGTGCACCTTGTGGTTGGCTGGGCACAGAGCCCAGTTTTGAGCTTCGGACACCTCGGTGCCTCCCAGGAAGGCAGCCGTGGGGACAGCAGGGCCTGGCAACAGGCGACCCACAGCACTTGGCACTGCCCAGGGCCTGGGCTGAGGACCTTGGAGTCCTGGTGAGAAGCAAGCAGTGCAGTCCGGTGGAAGCCCAAGGTCCAGCCCCAGCTCTGCTGCTGTGTGACTTCACCTTGTCACTGAGAGTGGGTGTGAGGCCCAAATGGGGTACCTGTGATCTCTGCTTGGTGCTGTGTCTCACCCAGATAATAAATAGAATGGAATAAAGAATAACTCTTAGTAAGTTACAGATTTTAGGGTGCAGGGGTTCGCATTACCTAACAGACCTGCGTCTTTGGGAACATCAACCAACTTTGCAGGCCCGTTCAACTCACGTGGTTGCCCTGTTGTAACAGCTGATGTCACTGACGTCCTTTCCCCTCTACCTCGAGTCTGAACATTTTATGTGCCCTGTGTCCTTGCAAGGGCTCAAGCCAGCAAGACGCCCTGAAAGTCTTTGGTGAGTCCGGTCAGCAGCAGCGATGCACTAGAAAACAGGACCTACGCATCGGTCAGAGCCAGGTGGCCTCGAGGAACCCGAGGGGCCCTTCCCTCGAAGACAGCAGAAAGCACAGGACACGAGGGAAGCTGGTAAGATTCATGTGACTTTTAATTCCTCATTCTGCTAATGTCTTACAGGAAGTGTAAGGATTCGAGACGGGCGGGGGGAAGAGGAAAGCGCCTTCTGAGATCCTTGAACTACTGAAGCAGGAGCTAGAGGAAGAAAGCCCTGTAAGCCTGTCCTTGTCACCACGGAGTTCCGGAGCTCGTAATGGAGATGCGGGACAGGGCCGGCGGCGGGCAACGCGGATGCTGCGCAGGCGGGCGGAGGAGCCAGCCCTCCTGAGCGCGGGGCGGACGCACGCCCACTCCGGGCTCCCCCAGCCGCACAGCGACGGGGACACTTGGGGAAGGCTCTTATAGAAAAGAGAAACACTTACTCTTCGTGTTTGCTGGTGGTGTGGACTGACCAGAAGTGGCGTAACTTTGGGGCAGTAGCATTGTGTCCTGGCGGTAAAACATCCGACACTTGGCCCTCCTGAAAGGCGCAGGAGCAGGAAAGCGGGGCCTCCGCAGGCCTGGGCGGCGGGCGCGCAAGGACAGGGGCAGGGAAAGCTAGTCCTGTACCACCACACAGGAACGGACACACACGACACCTTGGCCTTTCCCCTTCCTAGAAATGCTCACCTCTGCTAACGTACACTACTACATCTACGGTCAGCTTACCCAGTGTGGAATACGAGTTACCGTGCCTCTAAAGTTAAGGCGAAAAGCTATGTTCTTAGTGTTTTGTCTTTCTCCTAACTAAATGGATTTAAATAAGCTGAAAGCCTAAACTCTAGGGATTCTTGTCATTATGTCATTTGTTAGGGAAATCCCTCAAAATTCATCACTACCAGGTTTTGATTTTTTTTTTTTTTTTGAAACAGGGTCTCACTATGTAGTTCCAACTCACAGCGATCCTCCTGCCTCAGCCTCCCGGGTGCTGGGATTACAGGCATGCACCACCACGCCCGGCTCACTGCCATGTTTTTAAACCTACAGAATTGAATGGATATAAACTGGGCGGGGATAAGCCACTACACAATCACAGGATGGTCAACATGCACTTAATTTTACTCATTAAGCAAAGAGAGTGAAAAGGGCTGTTCTTTTGAGAAGAACCTAAACATGTTTAAAAGGGAAGAATACTACACTAGTCTCCTTTTTTTCCCTCCTGGGTGGAAAAAAGGTATCTATGGAGTTGGAGGAAGTGGAAAGTAAAATGTCCATTAAAGAAACACCTATCATCTGGGACTGACTTCTATCAGAGTGGAAGTGGCTGTGGATCACTGGTTCTTTTTGGGTTCTGGCAGCGATTCTGTTTTACGTATGTGTAGTAAGATCACCGAGCTGGGCCTGGCTGGCTCTGTGAGCAAGTGCGACTTCCGCTCAGCTCTGGGCAGCTGAGGAGTCACAGACCTGGCACCTGGGGTGGGCCTTCCTCGCTGAACCTTCTCTGCCTGGGTGGCCCGGGGCGAGGAAGCAGGGTTCTGCGGTGACTCCTCCGTGCTGGCTCCCGGACCGGACCGAAGCTTACTCCAATCCAGGGCTGGCTTTCCTATCAGAGAAACTATTCGACGCTAGCTAGCTATGAGACTGAGGCCTTGAAGACGTTATATAGTGGTGACAGGTGTTACGGTTCAGGAATAGGCTGTTTAACAAGTCAAATGCATATTATTCCCTCTTAAGCATTAACTTTTTTAAGCAAAGAATTATATCTTTTGGCTTGAAATGGTGTTTTCTTCTATATTTGACTTCTCGATTTTCTTAGTAGATATCACTGTCTCCTCCAATATTTCTCGGAAACTTTCTCCTGTCTGGGAGGTTTTCTTAGAGGTGCCCTTAGAGGCCTCCTCCTCCTCCTCCTCCTCCTCCTCCTCTTCCTCCTCCTCCTTCTTAAGTGACAGCCCCGTGGAGGCCACCACTTTGGAGGCTGCAGAGCTGGGGGCTCTGGGAGGGAGCAGGTAGCTCGAGGTGGGAAGCGGGTTCAGCCCTGAAAGGCTTAATCCACCGGCGGCGCTGAACCGTGTCTCCTCCCCTTCCAGCAGTTTCCTGTAAATCCAACAGAGACAAACTCTCAGGAAGTGAACTTGACAGTTTTTTGTGGTTTTTTTTTTTTTAAAGAATGTAACCAGTCAGTCTCTATTTGCTTTAGAGACACTCCAAAGGATACTACAAGTTTTTCATGAGGTTAGGCTCAAGAATATTGCCTTCCAAGGCTTGAAGAGTTAGAGCTTAGCACACGTATGTATGCACGCACGCACGCACTCACGCACGCACACACACACCCCAGCACCTGCTTGTTTAAACAGTATCAAAGGGAAACCTGTGCTGGTCACCAGCATGTTCCTGAAGGGAAACCTACAAGCTCCTCTACCACACATCAAACTCATTTTTGCCAATTAAGAGTGTACAAAGCTTTAGGGAGAAATAATTCTCCTAATTAACACCTTAACTGCAACAGGGATAAAGAGGTGGGAAGGCCGCACAGGAGCGAGGAAATGCCTAATTCAGTCAACTTCAGTTCTTTCTTTCGGTGGTACAGGGGCTGCAACCCAGGGCCTTGAGCATGCCAGGCAAGAGCTCAACCACTGAGCCACACCTCTAGCTCATAAGACATGTATTTTTCAGGCTGGGAAGATGGCTCAGTAGAATAAGCACTTCCTGTCAAGTGCAAGGGTCTGAGTTCAATCCCTGGTTCCACCAAAAAAAAAAAAAAAAAAAAAAAAAAGACATGTATTTTTCAATGTATAAAACTACAAAAGAAATAGAACCAGCAGTAACAAAAGCCAGTGAGTGACACTGTCTCAGACACCAGACTTTTCTCAGCCACGCTAACCAGTATCATAAAAGAGTGGCTGGTCCAGAGTGGCTGGTCCCAGGGTCTTGTTTCTTATAACTCCCACAGTTTTCTTTCTTTCTCTCTCTCTCTCTCTCTCTCTCTCTCTCTCTCTCTCTCTCTCTCTCTCTGCCCCCCTCCCTCTCCCTCTCCCTCTCCCTCTCTCCCTCTCTCTCTCTCTCTCAATTTCCTTCCTTCCTTCCGAACCGGGGATTGAACTCAGGCCCTTGCACTTGTCAGAGAAGCACTTATTCTACTGAGCCATCTCTCTGGCCCTTCCTACAGTTTTCATCATCTTTTTCTACCAATCAGAAACTCAAGTCACTGTCAGATACTTGTGGAACTTTATTCTGAAGTAGTCTACACAGCACAAAGCGAAGATGAGCAGGCAGATCTGAGGGTGAGATCACCTGCCCCTTCCCACACCGTGACCCTGAGGCAGCCCCCTGCTCTGGGGTCCACCTGATACTCAGGGCCATTCTATGGAGCATCTAACAGATGCCTGGCACATGGAAACTACTCAAAAAGCAGCACCTATAGGGCCAGCCAAATAGCTCAGCCCTGCAAGCAGGTGCAGGGGCCGAAAATTAGATCTCTGTGCTGGCCCTGCCTCCGGGGCGCACTGAGACAGCAACTGAGACTGGGTGTGGTGGCGCGAGCCTGTAATCCCAGCTCTTGGGAGGCTGCAAACAGGCGGATCACTATGAGTACAATCTGGTAGTGAGACCTGACCACGCTGTAGACCCTTCCCTAAAATACAAAAAAAAACACACACACAAAAACACACGATTTCAAGTCCTTTCAGATCAATATATAATTTCTTTTTTAAAAATACTACCTTGTAGGACTTTCTAAGTGTGTACACCCCAGTGCAAAATTAGAGTCTTCAGAGTTCTTGCAGCCTCTGGAGGCACACAGAGTGCTCTAGGACTCATGGGTGAAGTCGGGATATCTCGGAGTAGAGCGACAGAGAGGTGAGCCTTCCTAGAAGGGGACAGGGAAGCCCCTCCTTTGCACACCTGTGTTCAGACCCAGGGTGGGCAGCTGACCTGGACAGCCCTGCCCAGGTGGACAGGGCCTGCGTACTGTACCTGTAAGCTGCTATCTCGATGTCAAGGGCCATTTTGACATTCAGCAAGTCCTGGTACTCGCGGAGGTGGCGCGCCATCTCACTCTTGGTGCCCCTCAGGTCACTCTCCAGCTGCCCGATGCTGTCCTGCAAAGTGCCCACCCGAGATGTTCAGGCCACGTGAGCTGGGGTTCCTTGAGATTGCTGCATGGCAAGCCACCCAGGGAACTGATCCAGGTCCGGCCCCCAGCCCAGACTGCCATTCATCTGTGCTCAGGTGCGGGCCTGGCATCCACATGCTAAAGTGACTGTCCCCAGGAAGTTCAGACGCACAGGGAGGCTGGGAACTTTCCCAAGGAGTGTGTGGCTCCCAGGGGCGCTGGCAGAAGTTAGGTTTTGGGCTTCGCACCCCGCGCTGGCTCTTTCTGGTGCTGAACAACAACTCCTGTGTGTGTCCTTACCCACCCCAGGGAGCAGGAGAGGCGCTGACTCACGGCAGTCCAGCTGCAGGAAGCACAGAGAAGCCAGCGAGCCCGCTCTGCTGCTGCTCCTGCCTTCACTCCTGCATACCTGCTGCACACCACAGAAAGCATTTCTCATGGCAGCCAATGAGGAAGCGGAAGCACCCCCAAAGAGCTTGGGTTTTTTAAATTAATTAATTATTGTATGTGTGTGTGTGTGTGTGTGTGTGTGTGGCCAGCTCAGCCCACCAGGGGGCGGGGCTGGCTGGCTTGTGGTGCTGGGGGATCGAACCGCGGTCCCTGTGCTTTGCTAAGCTTGTTCTAAGTAGGTGCTTTAGACCACTGAGCCATCTCACCAGCCCAAGAGCTTGGTTTTTTTAAAAAAAATCCAAATGGAACACTAAAATTACTATTATTATTATTATTTTTAATTTATTTATTTATTTTTACTTTTTGAGACAGGGTCTCACTATGGAGTTCAGGATGGTCTCGAACTCACTATGCAGCCCAGCCTGGTCTTGAACTTGTGGTGGTCCATCTGCTTTCACCTCCCAAGTGCTGGATTACAGGTATGTCTATCCATTGCCCCAGATAAAATTACAATTTACTTTTCTTTTTTGCAGTGCTATGGATTGAACCCAGGGTGCTCTACTGAGCTACATTCCTGGCCCTTTTTAATTTTGAAACAGAGATGGTTTCACTAAGATGGTTTCTGGCCTTGGCCAGACCTGAAATTGTGATCCTTCTGCTTCAGCCTCCCTTTGTGTTGGGATGACAAGCATGCACTGCCATGCTTGGCTTGAGATTACAACAAGAGGGCCAGTGAGAGAGCTCAGCAGGCTAAGCGCCTGCTTAGGCAAGTGCAGGGACCGCAATTTCACCCCCAGCACCACAGACCACAGCTCGGCCCTGCCCTGGGCACAGTGAGTCAGCCACAGACACTGGGCATGATGGTGCAGGCCTGTCATCCCAGCGTGGGAGGCCGAAACAGGAGGATCACTAGGAGTCTGAGCTGCGTAGTGAGACCCTGTACCAAATACATTAAAAAAAAAAAAAATTAAAAGAAAAGAAAAAGAAGCCAGACAGCTGATTAAAGCGCCTGCTTATGCAGATGCAGGGACTGGGGTTCTCCCCCCATCATGGCATGTTGGCCCTGCCCCAGGGCACCCTCAGACAGGGAATGAGACTGGATGTGGTAGTGCACGCCCGTAATCCCAGAGCTTGGCACGCTAAAAACAGGAGGACTGGGCTGGAGAGATGGCTCAGTGGTCTAAAGCACCTACTTAGAACAAGCTTGGCCAAGCACAGGGACCGCGGTTCAATCCCCCAGCACCACATGCCAGCCAGCCCTGCCCCCTGGTGGGTTGAGCTGGCCACACACACACACACACATACACACACATAAATAAAATAAATAAAAAAAATAAATAAAAACAGGAGGATCACTACGAGTCTGATCTGTGTAATGAGACCCTGTAGCCCCTGTACTAAATACATTTTTTAAAAAGAAAAAGAAAAGAAATTACAACAAAACAAAACAAACTATAAACCTAAATTCAGCCAGATACAGCAGTACACACCTGGAATCCCAGCGCTCTGGGAGATGAGGCACAAGAACCAAAGCTTGAGTCCAGCCAGGGCAACCTACCAAAACCCTATTTCAAACTAAAAAAATACATAGAATAAAATTAAAAATGGCTGGAAATGTCACTCTGTGTGAAGACCCTGGGCTCAATTCCCAATATGAGGAGAGTGAAATTGATGTCATAGTTTTGCTTCAAACATGCAAACCAAGATACAGAAGCAAAATAGCTTTAAATTTATGATCCTTGAACACCAAGCCAACATTTAACCCTTCAGGTCAAGCTTGCCTGAAGCTGCTGTGTATCCCAGGATGGGGTCAAACCTGCAGTCATCCTGCCTTGCCTCAGCTCCTAGAGTACGGGGATTACAAGGGGATTACAATCGTGGGCCACTACACCCAGCCACAAAGTCTTTCTGTGGCCAATTCCTCATCACACAAGGTGCAGCTTGCATACTCTCTGCAGACAGCTCTTCCCCTGTGCCCAGCTTAGGCTGCTCCCCTCCACTGAGCCACATGATTCTACCTCCAGCCAGGGCAGCTGCTGGCCCTTGCAGAAACTGTGGGAAAATTAGAGAAAGGTACAAAGGCAGGATGGATTAGGAAAAAAATCAGAAACTAGAAAAAAAATCTTGCAGTTTGCTTCTCTGCTTTTATCATATGACATTACCTTGTTCACTGATTGCCAGTTTGTTTTCTGTCACTGCCCCCTAGGACAGGGGTTTTTAGTCTCTGGAGCTGGCTGCTGCTTTGTGGTGGGAGACTGCACTGTGATGTGCAGCTAGCGGCATGCCCGGGTCTGTCCCCAAGATGCCACCAGCACTTCTCCTTCCCAGCTGTGACAACCCTAAGTGTAACTAACACGGTCACCGAGATGCCCAGTGCGAGGGTGATACATACACACCAGAGAAGCTCAGCCAGCAACAGCTGAATGAAGGACCGGACAGCGCCGCCACAGAAGCATTTCTTCACGGGACCAGAAAGAGCACGTGCCAGAGCTCACACAACTCAGCTGCAGCTTTGCAGCCATGAAGGGCACAAGGATTGGGGCGCCTTCTATGAGCAGGCGTGCAGATGAAGAGACCAGCAACCCCAGCAAAGCTAGCCTGAAGCCCCTGGAGCCCCACTTGAGCGGGGAGACAACAGGGTGCTAAAAGCAGGCTTAGATGGCAGGGGCTGAAACCTCCAAGACCATTTGCAGCAAGACTTCATCTACCCACCTAGCCTATAAATACTGACAGGAGGACTGCAAAAGCGTAGCGGTCAACGCATGGTATGGAGGAAAGAATGGCAGGCACCAAGGGAAGTGTGGGTGACACCAGAAAATGACGCAGATTTTTCTTTTTTCTTTTTTTGCAGAATCGGGGATTAAACTCAGGCCCTAGCGCTTGCCAGGCAAGCGCTTATTCTGAGCCATCTCCCCGGCCCCGATGCAGATATTTCGAAGTGTGCTATAATGTCATGCAGGCTGAAGGGGGCTTTTCCCAAGCCTTTTACTTGATGGATGGCTGCTGTCTGAGGTGAAAGCAGCCCACAAGCACATGTGTTTCATCTATGATTAGGAGCAGGAAATCAGTATGACTGGAAGGAGTAAGGAGGCCTGGGGTAAAGGAAAAGCAAGGGGAGGGGAGATGCAGCTAGTGCTCAGAGGAGCAGAGAGCAGCTCTGGAGGGAGAGCAGGCTTTCATCGTGCCCCCTGGTGCACTGCTTTGCCCTGTCACTAATGTCCAATGTTAGTTTTCTATGTTTTAATTCTTTCAATTCTGGGGGCCAGGGAGATAGCTCAGTAGAATAAGTGCTTTCCTGGCAAGGGCAAGGGTCTGAGTTCAATCCCTGGTTCTGCCAAAAATAAATAAATAAATAAATAAATAAATAAATGAAATGGTGCCCCAATTATAAAAAAAAAGGAATTTAAATTCTTTCAATTCTTCTATTTCTTCCTATGGAAAATTATATTTATGCTTTTTCCCCCCGCTGGAACCAGAGATTGAACTCAGGCCCTTGCGCTTGCCAGGGAAGCGCTTATTCCACTGAGCCGTCTCCCCGGCCCCTATGCTTTTCTTTCTTTTTTAAAAAATGTATTTGGTACAGGATCTCACTACACAGCTTGGACTTGTACTGATCCTCGTTTTCAGCCTCCCCAGGTGCACCACCACGCCTGGTCTCAGTGGCCGGCTCAGAGCACCTTGGGCGGGGCTGGTGCAGCATGTGGTGCTGGGGATCGAACCCCTGTCCCTATGCTTGCCTAAGCAGGTGTTCAGTCCACTGAGCTATCTCGCTGGTCTTATATTTATGCATTTCCAAGGTGTTTTGTTTTTTGTATTTTTTAGGGAAGGGAAAGGTCTATAGGGTGTTCAGGGTCTCAGTATTAGATTGGCCTCATAGTGATCTTCCTGTTTACAGCCTCCCAAGAGCTGGGATTACAGGTGCACACCACCACACCAGCCAGTCTCAACTGCTGTCTCAGCGTGTCCGGGGGGCGGGGCGGCATGGCAGGCCCAGGGATAGAACTCCTGGCCCCTGCACCTGCTTGCAGGCACTTTAATCCAGTGAGCTACTCGGCTGGCCCTCCAAGGTGTTCTGAGACTCTCAAATTAGTATTCCAGTTTGATGGCCCTCACATTAGCAAATGATGAATGTATTACCTACTAAATTAGATAACGCTTGGCAAGTTCAAGGTCCTGAGTTTGATCCCTTTAGATAAGTCATTAGAATAATGTGTCATGCAAAAGTGTTCAATAAGTGTTAGCAATCATTTTTATTATTGTTAATAACAAAACCATGTGATTCTACTCTTTTGATAATATAGACAAATTATCAAATTTTTTTTTAATATATTTGGTACAGGGTTTCACCATGTAGCTTGGACTCACAGTGATCCTTTTGTCTTCAGCCTCCTCAGCGCTGGGATTACAGGGTGCGCCACGGGGCCTGGACTCAGTGGCTGGCTCAGCGCTCCTGGGGTAGGGCCAGCGCAGCTCATCGTGCTGGGGACTGAACCCTGGTCCCTGTATTGCTTAGTAAGCAAGTGTTTAGTCTGCTAAGCTATCTCACCAGCCCCAAAGTATCAAATCTTAAGCTTCCTACAACCCTTCAGGTAAATA